GGGCGGGGCCTTCCCAGGCCCTTCGGCTTTTCCCGCGACTTGGGAGGGAGCGGGGTGGCCAGGGCTCCTTGCCTAGAATCTAGCCGGGTGCGCCCTCTCCTCCCTCCGCTAGCCAACCTCCAAACGTGGAAACAATAACTTTGTTCTAAATAAACAGCAGTAATGACGCTGTGATGTGCCAGGTGCTTTCTGTACTCACGGAGATTGCCCCAAAGGTCTTGTGTTGTCGGTACTATTGATAGGATCTTTATTCTGCAGGTGAGGAAACTGAAACACACGGAGGTTAAGAATTTTGCAGAAGGTCACTCAAGGAATAAATAAATGGTAGACCTGGGATTTGAATCCCAAGGCACGAAATACTAGCAAGTTCCCGCTCCAGCCCTCTAATAATGACAATAATGTGCTTCATCTAGACACGCCTTTTGTTTCGCGTTTCTGAAGTCAGTACAGTATGTGGTTTCAGTAGTTCCAATTCCCCTTGATGATGTGTCATAGTTTAATTGGCAACAATTTAAGTTTCTCAGTGTACACGTGTATTAAATTCAATGAAATGCAGTAATAGCAAAGGTTCGCACAGTCCTGTAAGGTAGGTGCTGTTTTTAGGCACAGAGATTAAGTTCTCCTGCCCAAGCTCTCACAGCTAGTAAATGGTGGAGGAGGGATTGGAACCCAGGCAGTCGGCCTCCTGCTTCTTACAGCCTCCTGGGGAGTAAATAGGAAGTCCTGCAAATCTGTCTCTGTTGCCTGCTGGTTCACAGTAACCAGATTATGCCTGAACCAATTTGGAGGGGCAAGGGAGAAAGGACTGGGGGGCAGTTACAATGAGTGGCCTTTACCCACTCCAAGGGGTAGCCCTGCACACCAGAGAGGCTGAACAGATGTTTCCCATGGTCGCTGACATTGTGAAGCAGATTCCTCCATCATCTCAGTTAATCCACCCAGCCACTTTGAGGGAGAAGTCAGTTCTTTTCATTTATTTAGTTAGTTAATTTGTTTTTGAGAAGTCAGTTTTATTATCCCCATTCTGCAGAAGAAGAAACTGAGGCTCAGAGGTCATGTGACTGGCTTGAGGTTATGCACTTACCCAAGGATGTCACCCAGCCCATAAATTGCTGTCCCAGGTCTGTCAGACCCTAAACCTGTGTTCTGTCTAACACCCTGGACACTTTCTGGGACAGGATTGAGACTGAGGCATTTAGTGTAGGCAGTGCTTGGAGTCTTAGATGCCTGCTGCCTAGGTGTGCAGAAGGTAGGGAACAGTCACACAGAAACAAAACCATAAAGGCTGTCCTTTTCCCCCAGAAGTTCCCCCTGCCTCCCCAGAAGTTTTCAGGCCAGTTGGGAAGACCAGCAAACACCATGAAGGTAAATAACTTGATCAGGAAGAGAATCAATACGGCCAAAGGGAGGATGGACCACAAATCCTCCCACTTCTGAGTTCATCTCTGAGTTTCAGCTTTACAGTACTGATTGTCAAAAGTTGTTTGAATTGTAAATTCTCCTGGTTTGCTTGCTTGTTAAGCCTACAGATTGTTAGAGGGCCAAAGAGCAACTGCTCAAACCCATCTCCTCTCTTCTGAGCATTTATTAAAGGCTTTCTGAAGCTAATGGGTCAGAAGGGGTTTACTGAGCCTTACCCAGTGCCATGCTAAATTGCAGTGTAGAGATACACAAGAAAAATGAAAGCCAGCCGCGGCCTGGATATAATCCAGGTGGGGGTGGGGACATTCTCTAAGAGAGAATAATTGGAAAACAATGCCAGGAGGTACAAAGCATGAGGACGCCAGTGCTGGACAGATGCTGAAAGTCTCAGGGGTCCCCCAGCAGCTCCCTGGGGAGCTGGCTTCCAGCATAGGGATGAGGAGTCTCACCTGGAAAGAAAGGGCACTGGGCAGACAACTAGCGCATCTGGGAACAGGCCCCAGTTTGCGACCTGGTCACTTGGGCATGCCGCCTCACCTCCCAATGCCTCCTTCAGATTCCCCAGATCTGTCAGCTCAAGAAGGTAAGCAGGAGGGAGCTCTGCAAATGTTCCTGAAAACTAAAATACCAAGGTAACAAAGATATTTAAGTGAAAGTAACTTTATTTTATCAAGATCTATTTTCTCTTAAACCCAATATTTTTAGGTCCTGCCCATATTAGAAGCTGCTTCCCCAACTGGTCTAGGTCTAACAGATTTTTCTAAAAGTTTTTTACTCTGAAATAATTGAAAATTTACAGTAGAGTTGTGAGAATAGTATAAAGAACTCTTGTGTACCCTCTATCCTGATTCACCAACTGATTACACTATCACTTTTGTTTTATCGTTCCCTCTCTCTCTAGACAGAGCAAGCTCTCTCTCTCTATATGTATTAGAAAGATTCGTGTTACTTTTTTTTTGCTTTTTTATTGGATTACACTATCACTTTTGTTTTATCGTTCCCTCTCTCTCTAGACAGAGCAAGCTCTCTCTCTATATATGTATTAGAAAGATTCGTGTTACTTTTTTTTTGCTTTTTTATTGGATCAAAATTGATTATACATATTTTTGGGGTTCAGTGTTGAGATATGTTGATCAAATCAATATTACTAGCATGTATTACTACAAATCATACTTATTCTTTATGCCCCCTAGTCCAATCCGCCCCCATCCCTGTTTGCCTTTCCCCTCCCCCCTCTAATTACCATAGATTTCTTCTCTCCTTCTTTTTTTTTTTTTTCCTTTTTGTCTTTTTTTCGTGACCGGTAACAGGATGGCACCCCTCGGTGTCGCACCCGTACCGCGCGAACCCTCGGCGGGAGCGCTGCCGCACTCCCAAGCGCCGCACTCTACCGAGTGCGCCACCGGGCCGGCCCTCTTCTCTCCTTCTGAAAGAGTAATGTTTACTCTGTTGATTTGTTGCCTAGATGATCTGTCCAATGCCAAGAGGTGTGATCAGGTCCCCCAATATTATCATAGAGCAGATGCTTCTTCTGTCACTCTGGAATGGGCTTTGTGGAAAGAGACATCCTCTTTTCTTTATCCCTGCTGGTGACTCTCCTTGTGTCAATGCACTCCAGTGGCTGGTGGGCTATGTGTGTTGTGGTTGTGGCATCTAGCTGCTTTTGCGGCAGCCGTGGTTATTGTGGTGGCTGTGGTGGGCCACCCACATGGAGGTGATGTTTTTGGCATGCTCCTTGGTGCAGGTGGTGTGCCTAGTTGTAGGGGGTGGTCCAGTCCCTGGCTCCATCACTCGGGTCCCTGGGCAGTTCCCAAGGCACTGGCATGGTGTGCCTGGTTGAGGGAGGGGGGTCTGGTACCTGACTCCATGCCTCATGTCCCTGGGTGGACCTGAGGTGCTGGCGGTGTGTCTGAGCCAGAACTAATTTTTTTGTTTTTTGCTTACTTCTAAAGTGGGGGAACTTCTTGTGGGGACCAGTACTTGAGCTGTGTTGTTGAGCTAAATTGCTGCTTTGCTTCTGCTTCCCTAGGGAAGGCTTTTTGTGCAGCTCAGGTTATAATGGTTGACTTTATAGGTACTTCCGGCTCTCCAGAGACTCAGTGCACCTGGGTTATGTAGAAACTCTGATCTGGGCCTAAGTCTTTTCATCAAACTGCACCCCATGCGGTTCTATATTCCTGACCAGTCTTCTCTGAGTGGTCCTTCTCTGATTGGGATGCTGGTC